ACGTCCGGGAGCGCCCATCGTCTACAGTGACCCTCACCACGGCAGCTCGTAGTGGCCGGTGCTGCCCGAGGCCTTGCTGGGGGCAGGAGCAGGATCCTGTAGCCCGCCTTCCCCAGCGCTCTCTCCACTGGCCTGCACCTCCATTCTCCCGAATCTTCTTCCCGCCAGAGGGTACTCACGGTGACGCCATCACGCAAAGCCCCGCCCCCCTTCCCTAAGGACGTCGGGAGTGAGCGGGAGCCACGCCCCCGTTTCTGCCTCTTTGCGCCTGCGCAGAGCCTTCTGGTCAGCCCGGGCGAGACAGTTCCTAAGCGAGAACTGGCACCCGGCCCGGGAGGCAGAGGATGGCCAGACCCTCCCGGGCGCTCTGGGAACGGATGTTTGTGATTGTCGAAGACCCTCTCCGCCGCAGTCCTCCGAGGCTCTGCTGGGGCGTGGTGGTCCCCAGGACCAGCTGCCTCCGAGCGGGCGCCTGCGCCCTGCTGTGTTTGGTATTGTCAAGGGATTTTCGCCGTCCTGTCCTGCGGGACGGACTGTGGCCCCGCCGCCCCTTTTTGCAAAGCAGGAAACTGTCCCTCCAGCAGCTGTGACAAAGTGCACATTCCAGAAAAATAGAAGTTTCATGTTCACAGTGAGCGTTCTCTGGGAAGGCTTTTCTGTTGAACTGATCTTTTGTTTGTTTTTATGTTGTTTTTGTTTATTTGTTTTGCAGTGCTGGGGATTGAATCCAAGGCCTTAACACTGAACTACAACCTCACCCCCCCCCTTTTTGTCCTTGAGACTGTCTTGCTGTACAATTCAGGCTGGCCTTGAGCTCACTTTGTAGCCCAGGAGGTCTCACGCTCTCAAGGATCTTCCTGCCACAGCCTCCCTGCAACCCTTTATTTTTTACTTTGAGATAGGGTCTTGCTAAATTGCCCGGGCTGGGCTGAAATTTGGGATTCTCCTGTCTCCTGCGTCAGCCTCCTAGAATGTTGCGATTATAAGTGTGCACCACCACACCTGGCTTTGAGCCTGCCTCTTGAACCTAAAGTGTCCTACTAATAATGAATAATTACCATCGTTTGCTGTGCCTCTAATGTGCCGAACTGAGGTCGGGTACTCATATTCTCCATGGGATGAAGACGCATGCTTGGAAATGATGGGATGATTTGTCCGTTGTCCTTTAGGTTCTAGATGGTGGAGCCAAGATTCATTCCCTAATGTATTATGAAAAGTCTTCATATACTTGAAATAGTCAGCATTGGCAATTCTTGACAGTCTCTACAGAGACCGAATAACAAATTTTAGCAGCAGACCTACAGGCCATGCGTGATAGTGCATGTCTGTAACCCCAGAACTCAGGAGTCTGAGATAGGAAGATTGCTTTGAGTTCAAGACCAACCTGGGCTACAAAGTGAGCTCAAGGCCAGCCTAAACTGCATAGGGAGATCCTGTCTCAAAAAAAAAAAAAA